CTCGCTTCCTTTCAAAAGCTTTCTGAAGAATAACAAAAGTGCAGCAGACAAATAAATTTTAAAAGTGGTTAGGAAGAGAAATTTAAACTCTTTCACTACGGACATCACTTAAAATAAAGTGTGCTGGAAAGCATTCAGGAGAAGGCCACTGAAAACTAACTTAATATTGTTAAAATGAACTTCACCTATGCACAAACATAATCACACTGAGCCTGATCCAGCCCCTTCCACATGATATCACAATACCACACTATGGTTTTCTGCTGAATACAATTTGGCCACATCTCTTTGCCTGTCTAATATTGATGACGTCTGGCATTTTTATCTAGTGATTTTAACACTACTAATTGATATTCAACTACCAATATTCTTAAACACAAGAATCAGCCAGGGGAGACAGATTTTGGAATCTGTTCCTTCCTACAACCCAGATATTTTATTATACTTGATTTATTCAGACAACACCTGTGATAACCTTTTTTCTTCCCTTGCTGGTAGAACAGAGACTTTTGAGGGTGTGATGACAATGTTGTTCTTTCAAGGCTCAAATACATGGAAAAAAAATATTAAATTATGCTGATAGCACTAGCAAAGGCTGGGATATCTGGTCAACTTTAGTTGATACCAAAAGTTCAGTCATTAAAAATTCTAGTGATAATGACACAGAAGAAATGTTCAAGTGATGGAAAAGGAATTGCCACACCTGGAAGATTTTGTCTTCCAATCCCAGGGATTTATTGGCAGTTTAGTAATAGTTACCTTTGCCTGCACCTTACATCGGTACACAGCTGAAGACTGACTTCTGTTCTGAATCCTGGTCTGGTTAATGAATCTGCAGGGAATCTCATGACTGAAAAGCAGGGGCTTATTGCCAAAGACGACTATTTCAGCAGGGTCTTCACAGATGTTACAGACAATGTAAATATATGGCAGAGTCCTAAAAATAACTTTATTCTCTTGGGTACTGAAGAGAGATATTGGTGTATAATGCCAGCATCTAACTTCAAGCCTCACAGGCAAAATGTCTGTTCCCAGCTCCTACTGAATCATCTACATTCCCCATTCCCTATATTCGTATTCGAAAATAGAAAACCTTTATCCCTGTTAATTTTCCAGCAAAAACGGTCAGTTATCACTGATATTTTTTTTTAGCAAGGATGTGAAATAAGAAGCGCCTAAAGACGTGGAAAATTTAATCAACTATTGATGGGGGTGGTGGTCAAGTGGGAAACACTTGGGATGGCTGACAGTCTCCTTTTGTTTACTGAGAAGTGTAGATATAAAGAATTTCACATACACTCTTGGCATTCTTTGAAGGAGTCACTTCTCTTTTTCTCCCTAACATATTTTTTTTTGTTCTTACATGGCATTAGGTATTTCTAAGAAAGAGAAAATGCTCCTACAGGGCATGCCTTTGACTTTTTGTATGACCGTTTTTAGTCCTAGTGCTCATGTGAGAATGAAAAGCAGAGATCAGTAGGGTCAAAGTATGGGCTTGAGGACCCCTTTTGAGAAACAGCTCGGCATGCGGTGGGCTGAGCCACCTCTTGGTCCCTCCCAACCACAAAGTATCAGGAGAAAACTGACTTCTTATAGCTTTTGTTGACTCTATGTTACCTCCTTTCCTCTGCAGGCTGCTCTTCCCTCCGTTGCGCTCTTGTACTTCTGCACATTAGAATATTAGGTCAAACGCCCTCACTAAAAATTGTGCTGTACAGTATTTCTGATTTTCATCTTTTGCTTGATTTCCTCCTCATCTGGAGGAGACATCAATGGTACAGTAATTTTCCCCTCCGATGTTTGCACTTTGACCATGCCAGATTTTACTATAAACATTATGTCAAATGGGGCTTCCCTAGTTCTTTATAAATATTTACTGTGTGCTCAAAAGTGCAGTGAAAATAAGGATCAGCTGTTATGTTTGGAGTTTTTAACAATTTTTAATATTTTCCCAATAACTGTACTTTATGAATAACGTGTTACAGAGCCTAGAGGGGTCTGTGTTCCAGATGAGGAGGAAAGTGTCACATAGTGGGTTAATACTGATCTGATCTTTTACTGGTACATAAATCACATGATCGTATTGTCTACCGTAATAGTGATGTTTTTGATACTTGTGGTGGAAGCAGAAGGAGGGATTATTTGCTGTTTGCTGTGGAAACCACTTGAAATTCTATCTGTAGGCTAATCTAATTATAGTGCGAATGATAATCAGACTCGATGACAGGATGGTCTTCTATAAACTTAAACCTGAATGTACCTTATGTTGTCTAATTTTAGCTAGCTACAGTGACAGGGACAGTGTACTCTGTTTCGCACAGCAGGTTATTGAGAGTTTATATATATATAAAAAAATATGTATGTGTGTGTGTAATCCAGTGGAAACCAATACTTCACAAAAATGTAAATATTGTCCTGCAAAATCTAGTATGGACCTGAATTCTCTGTTCTTACTAAGAGATAGTTCTTTTTAATGAAAAAATCTGCTGTCTCTGGCATTGCAGACTCCTGTAGGGCAGGCTGTAAAGCTGCAGTGTGTAATAAGGAGCCTACACTCAGTTTGCTCTCCACTAATGACACCAGCTTCAAAGCAATGTTGTCATAGCATGTCTTCACGAGGCAGGAGTAGTTACCAAGTTTTACCTGACATCATTGCGCAGACTTCATCTTGGGAATCCATCAGATTCATTTTTGGCATTGATAAATCAACCGCACAACTCAATTCTGCTGAATGCTTTTCTCTGTGCCGCGGTCTTGCACACCAAATTCATATGGAGTGCTGTCTTCAGGCTCCGAGTACAGAGGGAAGCAGGAAGACCTCACAGATTAAATTTTAGATTAAATTTTACGAGAATAAAACCTGTATTAAAACATTATGCATTGATGAGTATAGCTGTCTGTACAGTAACTTTCTGAGTTTTGACTTGCTTTTCACTTACAGTAAAAAAAAAATAAATTACAGGCTCCAACATGTAAAGGGGATGGAATCTTAATATAATTAATATTTTCACATATCGAGGCAAGCGATCAATCACACCTATTGATAAGCAAATCTGTTAAAATCAGGTTGAACTAGAGGGGATGGATGACACCTGTAATTAGGACTCTTTAGGGATGGCAGTGTTCGACTCCAACAAGGGAAGTTCCAACAAGGTGTTGATGAATCACAGTTTTGGAGAAAATGCATAGTTCTTATCTAAGGACTTGAAAAAATGCAAGTGTGCAACAAAATGCAAAAAATGCAAAATTGTAGTGCAAGACTCAAGAGTATAACCTGTTTTATTTAAGCAAAAAAAAAGTATTAAGGGCTATTTGAATAGAATCAGAGATTCACAGAATCATTAAGGTTAGAAAAGACCTTTAAGATCGTCAAGTCCAACCATCAACCCAACGCCACCATGCCCACTAAACCATGTCCCAAAGTGCCATGTCCACACGTTTTTTGAACACTTCCAGTGATGGTGACTCCACCACCTCCCTGGGCAGCCTGTGCCAATGCCTGACCACCCTCTCGATGAAGAAATTTTTCCTGATATCCAATCTAAACCTCCCCTGGAGCAACTTGAGGCCGTTTCCTCTCGTCCTATCGCTGGTTACTTGGGAGAAGAGGCCAACACCCACCTCACCACAACCCCCTTTCAGGTAGTTGTAGAGAGCCTAGAATTATCTCTGTATGGAACATAAATCATAATATAAAGCTTAAAAATTGTCAAACAAAATATAGCACCTGGAAAATGGAGAAGTAGAATAGGCATATTCAGACCAGACACAAAACTTCCTTTTATAGCTGTTACTGTTTTAAGTGGAATTAAGCTTTAGAACAATGTACCAACATTTGTTCTGGATTTTCCATCTCTGGAAATAAAGTTTAAGTCCCACCTGTGTTTTGTGTTATGTACAAGGTTATTTGGACTAAATGAGCACAGTGGTCTCCTCTGACTTCTAATCTATAACGAAAAATGATTAGAACCTGTTCCAAAGGTTCTAATCCTTCACAAATTGAAGGAAAAGTCCATCACGGAAATAAAATTAATGCAGGATTTTAAAATTTAAGTTAATTAAACGTTTCAAAAATGTGAATTAAGTGTTTGATTGTATGTTTTCACAGGTACAGATTTATATATATCTAATTTTCTCAGGAGAGAGCACAAGCCAAGCTTCTGAGAAGACAAGATACTTCCCCACCCCGTCAGGTCTGCAGCCTTGAGACTAATTGTACATGACTGTAGTAGTGGCCGTTTGTCTTACAGCACTGAAGTGTTTTCATTTCAAACTGAATATTGCACTAGAGCCCCACAGCCCTGCCGAGCAGAGCAAAAGCTGTCTCTCTTCTCTCAGACTCCAGCTAAATAGACTGAACAAGGGGTTGTATTTAATCCGTTTCAAACATCCAAATGAAATACGCTTATTTGCTTCTTATACAGGCCAGGACATATTTCACTTAAAGATGAATCTAATGGAAATAGCAAGCGATTTGTCAACGGCTTCAGTGAAACCCAGGATGTACTTACAGTACACATGGGAAGATAAGCTTTCTGAAGAGAGCATCCTGCAATCCCAATCACTTCATCATGTGAACATAATATATCTCCATATTATACACCTGCATGTTCCGAGCAAATTACTTCTTAAAGCAAATTGGGCTTTTTGCTCCTACTTCTACTGTTGGAAGACTTTCCCAGAATTTGAAATATTTTGCTTCTAAAACTTGAAACCATTACCATCCTTTGTAACAACTGCTGCCATGGCAAAAAAAAAAAAATTTGTATCTGCTTTTATAGGTTGATACACATTGTTTTCTTAAGCTCATCTACCAATCAAGTGTTTATTTTACTAAGACTGCGTTTTTATCAGAACTAAAACAGGAATTCTGGGGAGCCGAACAATTAATCCTTCCTCATCGTTCTCATCAGGCTTCAAATCACCACGAAAATAGTTAAGCTTTTTCTGCCTGTGAAACAACAAGCATCTGAGCAATCAAACAAACTTCCACAGTAAACTTACCCAGTTTTCGCAAAAGTTGCCCAGTATCTCAACATGGACCGGCTTAAGATTTCTTCGGCTTTGGTGTAATTCACTCTTCTTTCTAGGGGCAATCCGAACACAAACTCGATCTCATAACCGTGCATTACTCCCATCCACTCTGGCCAAGGGAGCTTTGAGGAACGATGTTCAAAGAAATAAAAAAAAGCATTGTGTCCTAGTTGTGCAAATTTTTTGGTGAATTCCATTGCAGGACATATTATATTGTAGTCACCAATAACATCATCCATGGCATCGCGGTAATGTTCTGGCTTTTGCTCATTTTCCCAATCTGTGTACTGAAAAATGATCGATTCTATTGCAAGTTGGCTGGCTTCTGGGAAGGACACGGTTAAAGCTGTTTCAAATTCTGTTTTATTGATGAAGCTATCGCTATCCTTGCTGAAGCCAGGGACTCCATAGGCTAGAAATGCTGATCCTTCATCTTTATTAACACCGACTAAGATCTGTGTTTGTTTGAAAAGGCCATTCTCAATCAATGTTTCTGGCATGTCTGAGAGAAAATCGCCATCCACAGTTGGACAAAAATATACTTGTAAAAGAGAGTCATATGTTACAACAAAAATTTCATTCTCCAGTATATCCTTTGGGTCCTTGCCTTGGAGGCAGAGAATTAGCTCTGTCTCGTTGCTGGTGGGACACTGGAGCTGTTTAGCTAAAGCCACTGTTCTGTTTCTGGCTTCAGATGGTGTTATTGCAGCCCAAGGGGCATTTGCAGACCCACTTTGCATGATGGCTCTTGTGAATAAAGGATGGCTTTTAGGAGAAAGGATATGGTAGCTGACAGAAGCTGAGCCAGCACTCTCTCCAAATATAGTCACACTTTTTGGATTGCCTCCAAATGCTGCTATGTTCTCCTGGACCCACTGAAGTGCCAATCTTTGGTCAAATAAACCCGCGTTTCCAGGAGCTTCCTGGTTTCCTGGCAAAGCCAAAAATCCTAATGCACCAGTCCTGTAGTTCATGGAAACTACAATCACTCTTTCTACCCTGGCCAGAAACTTGCCATCATAGACTGGCAGGGAAGTCGACCCACTCTCAAAGCCACCACCATATATCCACACCATGACAGTTGCATTCTTGGGCTTGGGAGTAGGAATCCATACATTAAGGTATAAGCAGTCTTCACTTAGGTTTGTTTTTGGATTCCACATCTCTGATCCAGGAAATCCTGGGTAAGTTGTATCTAAAAGCTGGTAACAAGAGTTTGCATGTTTTGTGGCATCCCAAACATCTGACCACTTCTCACGAGGTTCTGGTTTTTGAAATCGCAGTCTACCGATGGGTGGCTGTCCATAAGGTATTCCAAGGAAGGCTGTCACAGTTCCCCCCAGTACCTGCAGGTTCGTCCCTCTAACTCTGCCTTTCTTCGTTGTAATGATGTTATCGTCAGGCATTACCTTCCTGATGAACATATACAGGAGAAGAAGCCACATAAGAAATCTGGTATAGATATTTGTACCATTTGTCCAAATCATGATGCCTAAAACACAGGAAAAAAGAAATTCAGAATTCATATTCCAATGTATTAGTACCAGAGCCAAAACAGTTTATTCAAAAAGGGCGTAGGTCTTCTCAAGCGCACTGAAAATAAGAAAATAAGCACAAAGATCAGCAGTCTTTAACCGTAACTTCCCGTTAGTCAGTCATGTTGCAAAAACTGTGTTTGGTGTTTAGTATTTAGTATTTGGTACAATGCTTCAGACAAACTCTGTCTAAAAAAACATAGAACTAAAGAAGCCAGACAAGGGAAGGTAAAGTCATATAAGCAGACTCTGCCTACTTCGGTTAGCAGATGACTTAACCACTTGCATTTCCGCTGGCATGACGAACCGGACATTTTATGATCTGTGGTGGAAAATGCCATGTCTGACTCGCCGATACTCTATTAGAGGTTACTTTGGCAATTTGTGTTCTCAAATCAATAAAGAGCGATAACAAACATCAGTAGGCACAGATTTCTCCACACATAAACTCGCATCCCATGAAGACTGAAAAGGAGCTCGAAGCCAAGTTTTAACCCAAGGATTTCCAGGTCCGCGTAAGTTTTGAACTATATGCTGGTGTCACAGTAGATGCCTGGGCTGGCGCAGACCGTTGCGATGGCATTGCTACAGACTCAGTGCACTGGGAGATTTCACTGTCCTACTCGTATGTCTGAAGATCTGAAGGTGATTTAACAAGTGAAGTACATGAAGGACCCCTGAACTGACTATCAGTTCACCAGCTCCTGCGGGCGACTGCATACAGAGGTGCGCCAAGACCTAAACGAAACAGTTTTTTCAAGGTCTTTTTTCTCTAAAGCAACTTAACCAAGTTTACAACCATCATAGTCATGAGAAGTAGTCATACTTCTACCACTTTGAATGAACATTTAAATGCTAAAAAGCCAAGGATTTTTTAGTATATGAAGGTGTTGCCTAATAATGTAAGTATGGCCTGGTCTTTGCTTCCTGAGAACTTTTCAGAGTGATAATTAATATTATCTTAAAGCTAAGGGTATAGATGCTGATTATGTACCACATTTAAGCATACTATATTTGCCCCAACATTTTCCAATGCTACAAAAAACCCAGCATCTTCCTCCTGAAACTGAAAAGTCAGAAAAAGACTATTTGCATAAACCCATTTCTATGGCTTACATATTTGAAAATGCTCAACAAAGCTTCCTTCTATTTTTCGCTTGTTGCCCTGTCGTACATAGTGTACTCTGTCCTGCCACTTTAAACAGGCCATTCTTTGTTAATGAGAAGACTTGTGTCCTTAAAAGGAATAAGGCTAATTTCTGTGGAAAGTACAGCTGGGCCCAGTGGGAGCTGCTCCTGCTTGTTTGCGTATTCTTGGAAATCAACTAAGAAAATGCAGGGAGAAAAGGAAGATTTTGCGCAAAGAGGTTCCTAAATTTCAGATAGCACCAAAGGAGCGGGGAAGAATCTTCAGAGACAATATTTTTAGCGTTCATCTAAACAGATGGAAAATAGATAAATTTTAGAGACTATAAACATTTACGCTCTTGTCTTTTATTAAAAAAAAAAAAAAGATAAGGTGGTGAATGGGGGCAATAGACTTCAGAGTTGACCTAACACCCCACCTAGCCATCAGCTTGATTTATAGAAACCTGCAAATGATCCCCTGTGTACTCAACTTAAGAGACGTGAATATTCAATCTGGACCACAGATGTGGTCCAGAAACTCCCGCGGAGTTTGGCTCAGCAGAGGCTCGCTCCGGCAGCCTGCAGTACCTGCACAGGAGGCTCACGTCGTTTCGTGTCATTTAGCTCACCTCTTTATGTGCCACTCATTTTTTTTCCCCATTCGTTCCTGTAATAAAATCTTTTAAGAGCTGAGTGAGAAAAGGTATGTGAAGAGTGGCTTAGGGCTAAACCCTTTCACCCTATCGTGACAGGCGGCTGTGAGACATATTAATTGTAGGGATCTAGTTGGGTATGTGTGTTCCCGATGCAAAGCATTGTGAGATGGGAGAAGTAATTTCTATAAGTTTGTTGGTTCACCGACACTTTTTTTTTTCACATATTCACTTCTAACATACCACCCAGAACCGAACCACAACAACAAGCTGGAAATAAGAGATTTCAAACATCGTCATTATGAAGAGAAAATGGCACTAAGAAAAGCAAGAGACATTGACGTTCCTAAAGCTTTTACTATCTAAATAGTAATAAAAATCAATTTCCCTCTGCACTTTCCTGTTAATTAAAAAAGGAATGGGTCAGGAGGAAAATAGTGTCACAGAGGCATAACTTTTGACCCTAGGAAGTTTTAGACAGGAATTTTAGGAAGAAAAAAACTAAGAAAAGATTCAATTCTGTACCTTTTTAATTAGCCCTGCAAAAGAACAGGTGTCATTTTAAAGACAAAGTTTGAAATAGATCTAGCTTGAAAAATGCAGAAGTTTTGGACTACTTAATGAGAGGACTTGTCTAGTCTCATGTTACTCTGCTAATGTTGACAAAAGTAGCAAGCGGCAGAGGATTATTATTACACCTTGAATGTATGGCAAATAATACATTTAATAAGGTTTTTAATGCTGCATTAAAACAAACTCAACAACATAAAGCACACTGAGCAAAACAAACATTACTCGATCACTACTATGAGAGTAAAAGGGTCAGAAGATTGCTTTAGCTCGTCAGCCTTAACCGAGCAGAGATATATCATCTAATGTATTTGCACACTTTAAAAAGCTGCTTCTGCGGTAGTTTCCTCCAGCAAAAGTTAAACAGACTATACTTTTGTGTTCTTATTCAGCAAGGGAACACAATTTATTGCAACGACTGTTTCCTCTCCTTGCAAATCTTCACCCAGCCAAAAAATCTATACACAAGACTATATAATCATTATTAAAATAGAAAAGATGGTTGAATTTATAAGTGGTTTCTAGCTCAGCTTGATTTACTTAGCCCAGGATCCCTTGAATAATACCAAGGTCTGATACACATGCCTGCTTGCCTGTTCCATTTGCAGAGCGGAGTGAGTTTTCCCGAGAGAGCAGCAAATGGGCAGAGCGTAACAGTTTAAAAGATCCCAATCCCCGTGCGGATCGAGCTGAAGTGTGAATTATCCCGGCAGACAGAGACGTGTAAATACAGAGTCACTTACCCCCTTCTGTTACGAGAACTACAAAGTTTTTAAGAGTCGGGATCTTTGAATACTTCAGGGAAAATGCAGTCTGCAGCTGCTGCCCTGAGCCCGGAGATTGGGCAGTACTGACATGATAATCCCCCGTTTGGGACACAAAGCTCGCGAGAGTCGGCGGCA